GAGGGAACTGCTGGACGAGAAAGTGTTGGGTCTGATGACCCGTGTATTGAGAGGAACTACCGGTGTATTGAGGGGTCATGTTTGTGGTGAATGTGTGATCATTGGTGGCCATGGATGTGAACAACAAATCGTTGATCTCCTTAATAGTATCGGCAAAACTATAGTTGGGGTCATTGGCCTCATTGGTGGGTACGGCCATCGAGTTAGCGGTTCCCATATTATTCATATGATAACTGTTATCAAAAAAAATATTGCATTCAAAATCCATTGTAATTATAAGTAAAGCTTTTGTGATAATAGTTATTGAAATAACATAAGTTTTAATTATTACCCAGTACTTAAAGCTAATGTAAAGTGATTTTATAACTGTAATAAATTTAATACAAATTCATAGTATAATAGTAATAGTAATTCATTTAATAGTAAAATTCAATACTTTAATCAATTGATTATAATATCCATTAATTCAAGTATAAGATCTAAATTATGGGCTATTTCTTGATTATCCTATTATTTCATAAGGACTTCACTTTAGTTTTTCTATACAAGTGTTCAATAGTTAGCAAACTTTACCATTGAATCACATGTTATTTTAATATCAATTTAATGCTACAAACAATTATGTTAATAGAGATATAATAAATGGTATGTATAGTATGTATAGTATATAATTTAAACAATTACCTGGAGCTATGGTTTTGGAGATTAGACTGCATTGAAAGCTGTTCACAATGATCCGGATAATCCAAACACTGGAGTTCAATGCAATGCAACTCCTATTTGAAGCAAACGCTTCGCAAACGACACACAAAACTTTGAATGAGTTTTATATAGAAATTAATGACACTTTTTGCGAAACACAATTTAGATATTAAGTTACACTTAATTATCAATTAGTACACTAATAGAAATGAATTAATTATGGAAAAATCAAAAGTCATGCATTGGTTGCAAATCAGTGGTGTCATGCACTCACTGCAGCCTAATATCATACTGACAGCAACGCGAGTAATACGAGACCTTTTATACATTATTTGGTTTATACTTTAATATTAGTCAAAGTTTTTAAGTTTTAGTCAAATGTCAATACAATA